GTTCCACTTCGGCAGCCCAGGTGCGCAGGTTCGGTTACCAGGCACAGACCTACACCACCTGTCAAGCCATGCTGTGGCGCTGACCCACATACAAAATAGAGGAAGACTGGCACACATGTTAGCTCAGGGCGAATCTTCCTCAGCAAAAAAAAAAATTTTTTTTTTACCTTTATTTATTTATTTTGTGAGGAAGATCAGCCCTGAGCTAACATCCATGCTAATCCTCCTCTTTTTGCTGAGGAAGACCGGCTCTGAGCTAACATCTATTGCCAATTCTCCTCCTTTTTTTTTTCCCCCAAAGCCCCAGTAGATAGTTGTATGTCATAGGTGCACATCCTTCTAGTTGCTGTATGTGGGACACGGCCTCAGCATGGCCGGAGAAGCGCTGCGTTGGTGTGCGCCCAGGATCCGAACCCCAGGCCGCCAGTAGCAGAGCGTACGCACTTAACCGCTAAGCCATGGGGCCAGCCCCCCAAAATTTTTTAATTAAATAAATAAATAAAAATTAAGATTATGGGTGAAATTTTGAATCAAGAAAATATTTAACCACAGATGCTCCTGGGTGATGTACATACAACTTTTGCAAATTTGACCTCATGCAAACTGATACACATATAAGGCATGGAATCAAATTTGGTGATGTGGGAAACTTTGCACAAAAATGCAAAGTAAAATACCACAAAGCAGGCCAGTGAATGCCAAGAATTAAAAGCATAAATTGTCCTGTGGCCACCAGAAGCTGCAGGCCTCAGTTACTGGGCAGGTTCTCATTCCCTCAGTGTTATTCCAGAATTATCTATGTTACTCCCTCTCACTCCCCCTTATTGATTTCTGATGATGACTAGTAAGGGATCAAGCAATAGCCAGAATGTAGAATTCATAAGCACCGGAATGCTGAATTAGAGCAAAAATCCAAAGCATCGCAGAAATCTGGCCAAACCCTGTCCTTCACTGCACTTGGACTTGGCTGACCACTTCCACAACGAAAACATCCAGAATGAAGGCACTGGCACAAACAGAACCACTGAGAGGTCCTGCCACATTCCAATCCACAAACATAAAACAAAGGGGGGCTCAGGTGCTATTCGGAAATAGAAAAGTCAATAACAAACACAAAAGAAGAATAAAGCTTAAAAAAGTATGCTGCTCGGATTAATGATTCAGTAAAGGCTAGAAAATCGGTCTGAAGACAGAAAGTGTGATTACAGAAGGGCATTCCAGTCGTTTTAAAACTCATGAAAATGTTCAGAACAAGAAACCAAGTGGGGAGGCTGCCGGTTCAGTAATAAAAGCACCAGTCATGTATCTCAAAGAATTGTAAAAATATGATACAAAAATGTGGTTCTATAACAAGTGCAATAAATCTTTAACTTTGATGAAATTGGATTTTCTAAGAAAAAACTTAAAAAGTCAGATGGCATTTATTTCAAAAGAAGAAAGTGTCCGAGTTTAAGGCTGCAAAAGGTAAACTGAGCCTTTTGCTTGAGGATAACATGGCAGGAGGTTATACATTGGTATCTTGACTTGCTTATCACTCAGAAAGCCCATGTGTATTTAATACACTCTCAGCTCACAGAAAATCCTGATTGTACAAAACCATGCGAAAGAGTCGCATAAGTCAGGGGATCATCTCTATTAGAACTATTCTGACAAGTTTCCATTTCACTAGAATCTCCTAGAGTCGATATATTGGTATTTAGAGGAATGGATCAAATAATTCAAGCTCATTGGGTATGTTTCAGATTCTGATATGGCCTACATTGTAGTTGTAGCAATTCTTGCTAACATTTTATGAGACAAAAACCGCATTCAAATCGGTTAGAACAATGCTGAATACTCCGTGGTCTTTAAATAGCATCAGTGAAAGCTACCTTAACCTGGGCTAGTTAACAGTTATTTCCAGGACTCGTCCACTGACCATAAAGTGGACACATGTTATTCAGTGACGTGCTGGAGAGGGCTGATTGCCCACATCTCTTCCCAACTTTGAGATTTCACACTGATAGGTTAAAATCAGCCTTTGGTGGGAGTATTTACACCAATGAAACCAGCAAATGCTACAAATCAGGGCTTTTTTCTTCTTCTTTTTTCAGAGGGAGCCAGTTGTTAAACATTTATCACCACACCACTGGTTATTTCCTAATCTCTCTGGTTGAATGGCAGCCACAAAGGTAAAACACGGAATTTCAATTCTTGTTCTTATGATCGATGCATTTTGTGGCTCTGCTTGAGTAGCTTCACCTCCTCCATTAGCCCTAATTCAACAAAGAGAGACAGCCCTGCTTGTTAATGCCAAGTCACGTGTGTGAAGAGGGGCACTGTCCTTGGCAAGTCAAGCCCCCAGGCAGTAAGACCTTCGGAGGCCTCGGACACCCACGGACTACCTTCCCAAGCTCGGTTTCCACATGAACATCCCATCAGCACCTCACACGGAGCACAACTGATCTTCCTGCCAACTGTCGGTGAAAAGCACCACATTTACTGGCCAGAAGAGTGGAAACCATCCTCGACAACTGCTACCTCTCACCAGATTCCCTCTCATCTTACTCTCTGAAAATCTCCCCACTCGAATCTCCCTCTCCAACCCGTCTTAGTGTGGTCCCCTTTGTCCCTCCCCTGTCCCCCAATTTCTCCCTTTCATGCATCCCCCACATGGTTGTTGGGCTGAAATATTTTTTAAAAGCAAGAGGGAGCACACCACTCCCTTCATAATAGTTGTCGATTACTCCCCATCAACTTGGGTATAAAGTCCAAATTCCTTGGCCCAGTGGAAAAGGCCCTTTAGTGTCGGATTCTGGGCCACTTCCACACTCACCCCTTATCGGCAACTCCCTGGTCACCAACCACTCCCTGCTTATTGTTTGCTGGACACACTAGTCTCTCTCCCCCGTGCCTCTACTTCACCCTGGAGAAGTCAAGAGAGGCATAATCCACCCCCACTCCACCAGCTCTCTCTTGGGCATTTCTCCAGCCCAGCACTCAATACACCTAGGTTTCAAATGGGTTTAAGAGTCTGTGACCCCCTCCAGGCTTGAGCCCCTTGAAGGTCTTTAATTTCTGTACTCCTAGAACCTAGTTCAGAGCCTGCACAGAGAGGCCACTCCAATCCGCAAAGCAGGGATAGTACTGTTTACCTGAGAGGGTGGTTGGAAGGATTGAATGAGACGGTGTATGCAGTGTACTTGCAGCATAATGCATGGCACGGAAATATGGGCACACTTCCTCTGGAAGAGCCCCAACTAGAGAACCATGCCGCCATCATAATATTATACACTTATTTAGCAATGTGTAATATACAAAGTTCATCCATCAACCAAATGCAGAGTAGGAGGGAGACAGGTCAAAATATGTTTTCAATGATCTTTTGATTCAAAGAGCTTTGTTTCCCAGCTCCTTTCCCTGGCTCAGCATTTATTTTTAAGAAGGTAACCAGGCATGATGGAATCAGCTCAGCTAATCTTTAAAATAAAGACCTTAAAAATTCTCTACACACGAGAGCTTTCAAACTTCTTTTTGAAAGCAGTGGTTCCCCTTCTTCTCCAGACGCAATCTTATTAGGTATCTTAAATGTGGCGATCAAAGCAGGGCTGGTCTGAGAGAAGCAGGATCTGGAACCACGACCAAGCCTCCCCTCCCAGGATGGTCCCTCTGCAGAACCTGGAGGCTCTGAGGAACACACCTTTCAAAACACTCCCTTGGTCTATAAATGCGGAAACTAAGGCACAGAGAGGTCTAGGACCTTGCCCAAAGTTCTGGAATCTGGTAAAGCCAAGCCTGGGATCCAAGACTCTTTCCACCATATCATACTGACTCCTCAGAATCAAGACAATAGTCAGTGGTCTCAGGACCAAAGGTTTACACTTCTTACATACTACTATTAATCACCCCTAAGTACTGCAATTGTACAAAGCTAAGACAGGCAGCTGCAAGAGTAAATAAATTTAATCTGTTTCCACTTGACAAAGGTCAAATGGAAGAATATTAATATAATCAGCCTTCCCTGAAGGAGATAAAAATAGCCTTCTCTGGCTGCCAAGAGAGTTACAACCCACACAGAAAGGGAACATATCAGTTTCTGGAACAAAGATAAAGGAAGTCAAAGAACCACCTTCAAGATTATTCTAAAGGTAAGGGGTAAGTAGCCCTATTACAGCCAGGTTAATAAAGGATCTACTGGTAGAGATTGCCCCTTGCCCACCCATAGCCACTTTCCCCTTCTTTCTTAATTACATAAGCCTGATTTTATTCAGGGTGTCCCCAGCTAAAACACTAAATTTTCCAGCTTCCCCTACAGACGACCCTACTACTAAGTTCTGGCCAATGAGATTTAAGTAGTCATTGGGTAGGACTTTGGAGAGTGTCCTTTAAGGGGGACTGGCCTTTTCCCATTTTTTCTTTTTCTGTTCTCCTTTCCACAACCGGGAACTTGGATGTGATGGCTGCCGTTCCAGCAGCTATCTTGTCACCTTGTCATATTTTTCATTTTAACGAAAGGCTTGCACGAAAGCCGACAGAGCAGAAAGAGAGAAAAAGCCTCAGTCCCTGGTAACTTATGAAGAAGCCATCAAAACAGCCTTGAACTGCCCTAAACCTCTGGCTTTTTTATGTGAGAGAATAAACCCTTATAAGATAAATTTACAGTAGTTAGGTCCCTTTTACTAGCAGCCAAACACAATGCCTAACCAATATAGACCTCGGCTTCACTGGCAGAAGCTACAGAGCCATATGGAGATACATAAGATAAGTGTTGACTCAAGGGAAGGAGGAAATTCATCGCATGTCCTCTCCCAACTCCTTCACAGATTTTCAATAATAATTTCAGAGCAGGTCAGCAGAGGGCAAGCACCCACAGTTAAAATCAGATGACTAGTAGCTGAACTTAGCAAAGTCTGGCAGGAAAAATAAGTCTGTGAAAGCAGAGGGTGTCAGGGTGACCAGATGAGGGACCCTGCATCGCCTCTTCCCCTGTATCTGACCAGGAGAGGGGCCCCTCTTTGTACCTCTTCAAGGTTGCAGAATTCTTGCCGCAGGGCTAGCTTCAGATTAGTGCATTCTCTCCCGCATCTCAGTGCTACCAGACACTCCTTGGTTAGATGTGGCACCTAATCAGAGGACACAGGTTCTTAATGGAGAAGTCTGAGGGAACTCCGTGCTCCTGCTCTGCCTAAAAAGGCAGCCAAAGCTTTGTCACTCCAACTTAACAGGCCAACACTCACATCCACGCACCCCAGCTCCCTCTAAGGGGTATCTCTGTGGTTCCAGGAATCCACGTGTCATAGCACCCAGGTAAAACAAGGTGCTTTAAAAGGGGTTCCCCAGTGCTCCTTACTTGAGCAGCTACTACCATGTTGTACAGCCTTAGGCAAGGCATTTAACTGCTCTAAGCCTCAGTGTTCTTATCTGAAAAATGGGTACAATAATAGTACCCACCTTAAAGGGCGGTTGTGCAGGTTACATGAGTTAACCTTTACAAAGCAGCCAGAACAGTGCTTGGCACCTCATAAGTGCTCAATATATGTCAGCTATTAATATCATTGAGTTATTTTTATTTCTTTTCAAAGAGAACTATCTTAAAATTTCTCCATCATTTTTTCTCCCATTATCAACAGGTGCCCCTTTTCTCTCTTCTTCACATTTCCTGGGCAGTCGGCACTCTTGCTCTGCATAAAGGGCATAGTGCATTACCTTCTCCACACCCCAATATTTTTTTTACCTGAAACCTTAGACATCTTCCCTGTAAAGTATCACCAGTTTTCAGCTCTTTCAATATTCCTATCTCAGGTCACACAGTCATAATTATGCCATAACCATACCTCTGGAGATGGCTAATGAAATGGAAAAGTGCTATCAGTTAAGCCTTTAACCTTTAATATCAGAGGTGGCAGTCCTACTGTAATTCTGTACCGGTTACCCTCCTAAGGCATACGTAGTATTTAAACAAAACAATTTCACCAGTGATTTGGTTTTAAAAATGGATTGAAGTTTGGGAAAGACACACAAAGAAAAATAGAGTGTAAGTGGCTTTTTAAAAAAGCGGATATACCTTACAGAATAGCTCCAATAACATCTTTTGGCGAGCTCGCTCATAAGGGTCATATGGATACAGCTTCCTGCCGGGATAAGCGTCATCCAGGTACTCACAAGCGATGACAGATTCGTAGATCAGTTGACACTTGCTGTTCTCCAGCACAGGAATCTGGCCAAAAGGGTGCTTTGTGTAGTACCATTCAGGCTTGTTTCTCAGGTTAATGTTGATAACTTCATGTCTTAATAAGCAAAGGGAAAACAAGACAGAACAAACATTAGAGGTTTATTCAAGCAGACGCTCATCTTGAAAGCAAAAGAGATCAATTTATAAAATTTAAATTTGCACTAAGTTTTTTAAAGTTTAGGTTTTTTACAAAGAAAAGTACATAACATCGTCTGCATCCCTACAGTAAGATGTGTTCACTGTTTTCTATACCTTGTCTTGTTTGCTCCTTGTGATTCCTGGCTCCAAGAGGTTGAATCTCCTGCCAATATCACCACTGGGAAGGAGCAGAGCCAAGACCAGAGCCCAGGAAGTCTGACTCAGGGCTCTCGTGCTTAACCTCAGCAGTACAGAGTTTCGTACATTTTAAAGCTTGAAAATACAAATCTGATATTAACAGGTCACAACAGAGTATGGTCAACGTTAGCATTCCGAGCATGAATTCTGGCATCTGACGGCCTGGGGTCTGGACAGTTTGGCTTGTGTTCTTGGCCAAATTCCTTAACCTTTCTGTGCTCAGTGTCCTTAAGTGTAAAATGGGGATAATAATTGTACCCATCTCTTGGCATAATTGTGAGGATCAAGTAAGTGAATTTGTATAAAGTGCTGAGGATAGTGCCTAGAACATAAACAAGCAATAACTTTGTATTCCTCTTATTGTTATTAATTATTACTATGAGAGGTTCAAGCCCATAATGTTACCAGAGGCGACATTGTTTAGTTGTCACGGGTAGAAGCCAGGGATGCTGCTAAACACCCAACAACGTGCAGGACAGCCTCCCCCCCACCCCCACCACACACAAACAACAAAGAATTATCTGACCCAGTATATCAATAGCGCCACGGTTGAGAACCCTGCCCTAAAGAAATATGACATTAGTTCCTAAGCTGCCAACTTATGACTATGGGTAAAACATCAAGCTACTGTTATTTTAAACAGGTAAACTTAGGGCCAACTAGCACTGAGCAAGAGGGAAGAATCTGGAAATATATGCCACATACACTCAACAAAGCAGAATTACACAATTTTATCTAAAATGTCTCTGTATTAGTCTCTGTACTTCTCTGACACCCCGAAGTCACCCCCTAATGATGGCCTCTCCAAGACAAGAGTCAAGAACACGGCCTCCGCACTTCAGCTTTGAGGCCTGTTGCATCACGCTGGGCCCATTCCACAACGTTGCTCTGCCTTCCAAATCCAGACCTCTTTTGCAAGAGCTAGTCTGGCAAAATTCCTTCTGGAAGGATATGGACCCATTTCTCGGGTATGTCAGGACCTTCAAGACACCTCTTGACAGCAGTTCCTTCCATTTCATTGTTTAGAACTATTTGTTGATTCATTCAAAAAACATTTTTAAGCACCTACTATGCCAGGCTCTCTTCTAGCCCACGAGTACAAGAGAAAAAGTCCCTACCCTCGAGAACTTACATTTGAGGGGGGTGAGTGGAAGTGGGCTGGGGGTGTGGAGGAAAGATGGATAAACAAGTAAGAAAATGTTGGATGCGACAGGCGCAATGAGAAGACAACAGAGTTGATCTGAAGGTGCCTGGGGTAGGGGCGGGGGTGGGGGCTACATTCCAAAGAGCAGAGAAGGCCTCGGTGGCCTCCGCTACGCCCATCCTTCACAAGCATTATGGGAGGGAACCAGCTCAGCAGAGCCACCATTCAGTTCACTCTGAGTTGTTCTAAAAGTTTCATTCACAGACACGGCCCCGCATGAGCTCTGCACTTCAGGACCGCGCGCTAAAAATCTCGCCTTTTGCTAATCATTTATTCACTTGGACTCAGAAGAAAGAGACGGAACCCCTCTGAAATCTGAGCAGGGGGCCCCGGATTTTACACATCTCCCTGCGCTTGCGGGGCGCTGGCCTCCGGCTCCTCACCTGATGCCTTTGGCCCGGAGGACGAGGCGCGTTCTGTGCGCATAGGGGCAGAACCGCATGCTGTAGATGCGGATCAGGCCCTCTGGGACCGGCCCCGGGGGGACGCTTCCTGCGGGGGTAAGGGGGACGGAGAGGTGGATTAGACCAGTGGGGAGAGGGGCTCACTTCCCAACCCGGAACCCCAAGAGGGCTGCGCGCCCTCAACCTCCGGAGTCCCAGAGAGGGCACTTTGCACGTGGCTTTTGCGCAAAGGAACCCTTCAAGTCCCTCCCCGCCGCGCTGGTCTGGGGACCAAGGCCGGGCAGCCCCTTCTCCGGAGGCAACATCCCAGCCATGCGGCGCCCCCCGCCTGCGGACCGCTGTCGAGAGGACTCACCTTTCCCTAAGGTTCTGGTCGCATCCTCAGCCATGGTCTCCAGGCGTCTGCGCATCGCCCGGCGCTCACAGCCGCTGCCCTGTCGCTCCTCGCCACCGCAGGCTCCAGCGACAGCTGCGCTCCAGCGCGCGCCTCCCGCCCCAAATTCAATTTTTGAACGACTAGGCTCTGGCGGGGCAGAGAGGAAATGATCTGGGACCAGAGCTAGAATAACTTAACCTAGAGAGACATCGCCCCAGATTCAGAAGCCAAAGAGTAGTAGGAGTGAGCAAAAACCCTGAAAATTACCCCTTGCTTTGAACAGGCGCGTACACCATTCAGTGGGGTCTCTTCTCGACGTCAAGAATCCGCAAGGAACAGGCATTTAAACTCCATCCAGCACGTATTTCAAGGGAGTTTAATAAAAATTGACCAGGGTAACGCTATTGTTTTCTCTACTATTCTAAGCCCTCCCTCCTGCGTCTCTAATTGGACACATCCTCTGTATAATGAGTAAGGGTTTTTTCCTTTTTAAAATAAGGCCAAACTTCCTCATGATATGGCAGATAAGAAGGAAAAACTTGTTAGTGTTGAGATTTTGCACGACCCTGAGAAGGAGCACCTCTTTACATTTTGTGCCCTGGACTCCTCACTTGCCTCACCCTAGTTCTGGCCCTATTTGTGAGATTTTACCCAAGCTATGAAAAACTGGTAACGAATAGAAACAGGATACCTAGAGGCAAAGACAAATTTGTGAGCTCTCTCCACACCCCCAGCATAAATTTCAAAGAAAATCCTTTTTAATCGTAAAGGACACATTGCCAACAGCGCAGCAATTCAGGGGCCACTTGGATAGCTTTTCCACCTACATGAGATAAGGGAGGTAGCTGCCTTTGCTTGACCCTGATAGGCTGAGATCCTGAAATTTAGCAAGCGGAAAGATAACTCCTTTAATTTTGCAGAACCGAGCTGAAATGGGAATTGCTTGTAAATGGATTTCGTAGGATTGACAGGTAAAAGGGAGAAGTATTATGTGTTTCACTCACACTGACTAAATGATTTCCATGGACTACCTTATTTGATTCCCACAACTACTCAGTTAGGCAGCTAGTACTATTCCTATTTTACAAAATAGAAAACAGCCTCAGAAAAATGAAATTATTTGCCCAAAGTGACCAGCTAGTTGGGTTGAAGAATTTTAAAACTCCAAAGCCTGACTCATTGTCTTGGCTTTTACAGCTGGCAACAGCGTGGAGAGGAAAGGATCTAAGTCCCGGAAAAGATACAGCACATAATAGCTGCTCAACAAATGGTAGCTGAATCTAAATATCTTTATTAAAAATGACAGAACCTAATTATGCGCCTTATGAATGGGCACATTTGGGCTTTGGAATTCCAATCTATCCAGAAATTAATAGTGATTAATAGTGTTCACATTTTTTTTTCTACTGAATAAGAATCTTTGAAAATCTTCAGAATAGTGATTCAATTACGTTTTTTGCTAAATCATTCAGAGTGATTTCACGTGAGATACAGCAAGTTGTTGTTGTTTTATAAGAATTGGGGAGTGGCAAAAATGTTTGAATAAATGTTCTCTGAAAAGAAATCTGGTACTGGAAAAGACAAATTGGTTCTTGACTTGCCATGCTGACAATTGTGCATTTTGGAAGATAGAGAAAGTAACAGGATAACTACTATTCTGGAGCTAATTTTTATTAAGAAGGACAAACTGGGTGGTAAAATAGAAGCAACAAATGTAACCACATCACGTGAGAGCTTCTGGAAGGCACCTAGGCAGACAAATGAATCCCTCACATAAAGAATGCAGATTTCAAACAGTTGAGAGAGAATATATCCAGATTCTAAAAGGGAAGGCCATAAGAGGAATGTGAAATACTCAAAATCAAAATAAGTTGTTACTAACATTTTATGCTTTTTGTGTATGCACTCATTTAATCCTTAAAACAGTCCTATAAGGGTTCTATTATTATTTCATTTTAACAGATGAGTAAACTGAGGCCAGCAAGGTTAAGTCACCTGTGAAAAGCTTCACAACTAGTAAGAAGGAGAGGGAGGCTTATGAAGCCTGGAAGTTGGACTCCAAGGGCAGCACTCCAGCCAGGATCTTAGTCTACACCAGAGACAGGCAAACTTTTGCTATAAAAGTCAAGAGAGTAAATATTTTAGGCTTTTCAAGCCATCTTGTTTCAACTGCTTAACTCTACCCTCATAGGGTGAAAACAGCCATAGATAATATAAAAATGAATGGGTGTGGCTATGCCCCAATAAAACATTTTTTTGGACACTGAATTTGAATTTCACACATATATAGTATTTTTTAATAGACTTTATTTTCAGAGCAGATTTGGGCTCACAGCAAAACTGAGCAGAAGTTATAGACATTTCCCATATACCCCCTACTCCCACACATGCATGGCCTCCCCACCATCAACATTCCATACCAGAGAGGTACATTTCTTACAATCAATGAACCTACACTGACACATCATTATCACTCAAAGTCCATAGTTTATATCAGGAATCACTCAGTGAATTTCATATAATTTTCATGTGTCACAAATTATGGTTTTTCTCTTGATTATTTTTCAACCATCTAAAAATGTAAAAACTATTCTTAGTTCTTGGACTGTACAAAAACCAGCGGTGGGCTGGATTTGGACTACTGCCCTTAGTTTGCCCATCCCTGGTGTATATTGACAATGATTGAATAGTGTCGGGGGAAGAGGGAGAATCTCCCTCTGCCCTTTCCCTTAAGGTTCTTCTGGCTGGCCAAATAATCAACAAGACAGGTTAGCAGGAGAAAATAATACCAAGTTTAATAACATGTATACATGGGAGAAAGCAGGGACACTGCGTTTCTCAACACAATAGCAGAAATTCTCGTCTTAAATATCTTTTTCAGCCAATGACAAAGGAGGATTTTGGCGGTGGGGGGAGTCAGTTACAGGAGATTACCACTAAAGCACAGTAAACAAGAGTAAGGTTTATTATGTAGCTCAAGGCCTCACCTTCCACATTGACAAGTCACTAGAGATGAGCTCATCCCCCTCTCTTCTCCAAACAGAGAGGGAGATACCTTTACAAATGGAGATTTCCCTTATAAATGTAAATGATTGTCTGGCAACTCTTCGAAGGGTCATCCAGAGAATGTGGCCAGAGAGACAGAACTTCTGATAAGAGGGGCTTGTTGGTGCCTTTCCTGTTGTAACATTTACCCTACGTTATCTTTACAGCCATCATGATAGATCTGTTCCAGGAAGGAGCCACCATGTCAAATTCTTTAGGCAGTTAGTGGGGGAGGTCAAATGTCCTCAGAGAAAACAACCAAGGTAAAGAGATAGATTTCAGGGTGGCCAAATCTTGATCTCCCACAATAGCAATGGCCAACTGGGAATTCCATTTGTAAAGTAAAAGGTTCTTGGATCCACAGCTTTTTCCTTTGTCAGAAAAGAATGCATTTCTAAGCTTTTTCTTCTCATTCCCACCTTTTAAAGGAAACCAGCTCTGAGAGTTGGAAAATATTGGTTATTAAAAGTATACCTGTATATGGGAAGTAATGTTCTGAAATGCAAGTCTATTTAGTGTAGTTAGGGAAGAAGAGACAGAGGGATGGAAACAGTTCTTCTGCTGAAGGGAAGCCATAAGATGTCAAGGTTCTCACTTGGCACTATACCCAAACCTTGGCTTTGGCACGCAGGCAAGCTATCTAACCTCTTTGACCTTCATCTTCCTCACCTGTAAAATGAGAATACTAATAGTACCTACTTGAAGGGTTTTCAGTGTGGAATGAAATCATACAGGCCATCCTCAGCACAGTAAGAGCTCAGTGTACTTCAAAATTAATGACTAATATCAGTAAATTAGAACACATTTTTAACAGCATAGTGCATTCTAACACTATATCCACAAAGATGAAATGCACTGCAATTCAGCTTTGCCAAGCACATTAGAATTAAAACCAGAATCAACCCAGAATACTAACTTCATCAGTTACCAGTTTAACGCCAGCTGAATGGGTTGAATGCTGCAGGCTACGTTTCAGTAGTGTGGTTTTTAATCTTACCACTGAACACTATGGTTTCCCTGGAAAGATTTTAATTATGACCTTTAAGCTTATCCCTACTTCCTTTTTAAGATCCAATACGTACCTCTCTGAAATCCTCTTTGCAAATTTTCCTTCTATGTTATTATATCATGTTTACATGTCTGTTATACTGACTCACTCAAGCAAGAAACCAATGGTAGTAAGGCCATACTAAACCTACTCCAAATTGGTTGCCAGCTACCTGAAATATAATCGGATCTGTTTTGAAAACGTGGGGAACTTTTGTCATGGGTGATAATGACTTAAGCCCTCTAGGAAAAGAATGCCGCTACAGAAGTAATTTCTTCACTCGATTCACAAGACTCTGTTTTGAGAAGAGGAGAGGAAGTGGAGTTTGCATTTTGCAGTTTTTCAAAATTTTTTTGTCATACCAATCTCTGATAGTGGTAGAAACTGAAGGACATTCCTCGTAATATTTCAGAAGCCTAACTTACATGAAAGATTATGTTACCTGGTGTTCAGTTATTGTTCAAATTCAAAGTGGGATAAGTGAGGGAAAAGGCTCTATCTTCAGATGGGCCTAGATTCAGGACTTGTTCCCAGGAAGTTAGGATTATAGGGAATTCTGTGTTGTAATGTCTTGGGGACATTTTTTTTTTTTTCAGTTCTCTTGAGCTACAATTGACACACAGCTCTGTATGACTTTAAGGTGCACCACATAATGACTTGACATACATATATCGTGAAATGATTACCACAATAAATTTAGTTAACATCCATCTCCTCATATAGTTATAAAAAAAGATTTTTTTCCTCATGATGAGAACTTTTAGGATCTACTCTCTTAGCAACTTTCAAATATACCATACAGCAGTGTAAACTATGGTCAACTTGTTATACATTACATCTCCAGTACTCATTTATCTTATAACTGTAAGTTGGTACCTTTTGCCCACCTTCATCGAATCTCCTCCCACATACACAACCACAGATCTGGGACATAGTAATTATACTAAAGTTGTCAGAGGAGGAACTTCATCTTCCCACTAGGGAAAGCAGAGCCAAAGGTGAGTTTCTTTTTATGTACTTGATTCTGCTTTCCTATCACTATTTTTCTTTACAGCTTGAGGAATTAAAGAAAAAAAATTTAAACATTTTGATATAATAACATTTAAATGAACAAACGCAGATTTTCAAGATCCTGAAATCAGCCAAAGTCAAACATTTGTAAAATCAAACAAAACACACTGAGTTTGGAAAAGGAACATCAACACTTCCTGTTAAATCCCAGGCAGTATAGTGGTGTGTCAAAAAACCTCTCCTGGCTCAAGCTCTAAATGCTAAGAGCTGATGAATAAAAAAGAGACCGGGGCAGAAGCATGTGTAAGTTCTTATCTCAAGAAGGGTCTAAATGACTGTGAGTTCAGACTGGATTTGAGTCTCCTCTTCAGCATTTACTGGCTGGTTGACTTTGGGCAAATCACAACTTTCTGTGCCCTGGTATTGTCATCCGTAAATCAGATCTAATAGTACCAATACATCACGTGATTTGGAGAGGATTAATTCAAATAGTGGATGAGAAGCATTTAATACTTAGCGTTCTCCTGTTATCTAGTAAGCATTCAACATTAGCTATTATTATTATTTGAATGTAGCAGGGAAGACCCATAGACCTCACAAAGACAGGACATTCCCAGAGACCAAATTCCCGATTGCCAGTGCCTTATAATGTAGCCAAATTAGCGGTGCCAAGAGGCAGCGCTGACAACTAGTGATCTGTGGTCTTTTTTACCTGTCTCCAGCCAAATCAGAAACATAACAACTCAATGAGTTTGGTTTTTTTTCTTTACGTTAAATATATTCGCTTCAAAGACGTGTTTCTTAGCCTTAGATTATAACCCTTGTACGTTTTTGATGTTAAAAATCTTTGATGAAACTTTGATAAAGTAGTTGGACTTTCTTTTAAAGGTGTTAGGCAAAATAAAGTTGGCAATCCTATTCTGGGCCCCGAAATTCGTGAAAAATCCCCAAATTCAGAATTAACCTCAACCCACTCTTCTCTTCAAACGCAGCACAGGCCTGACCGGCCCACCCGGTGGCGGTGAATGGAGAGAGACCCCCGAGGGACCTCTGGCCCCCTGGCACACAGAACCGGAAGTGGAGAGGCAGTGGCCGCAGAGGGAGGCGGGGCCCAAGCAGAACCCGCCCCTTAGAATCCTACCCGCCAACTGGCCGCAGCGCCCAGAGCTTCAGCCAATCCTCGAAGCCTTTGGAAACGCTCCGGCCTAGCAATGCCGAGTGAGCCAATCGACGGCCGCGTTACAAGCTCCTGGAGTCGTGAGTCCCTGCGCGTGTCCGTGGTGGAAGCCAAGTGGTGGCTGGGTGAGGACCTTGGCGCCCGGGTCTAAGTCCACCTGGCGTCCGCATGCAGCCGACCCGGGCCTGGAGGGTGGGGCAGGCGGACGGCGGCAGAGATGGGTCCGCCCGGAGCCTGGGCGTAGGTGGCGACAGTGGGCGGCAGGAGGCCGTTTGTGAAGTCAACCGGTTCTCTGCTGCCTCTCAGGGTGCGGCCCTCGCGTCGCCCTCATCACCGTGGAGCAGGGGGCTCATTTCAAATATGGATTTCCCGGCCCACCCCGGACCTACTGATCCGAAATCCAGCAGTGAGCCTTAGGTGATTGTTATGCGCTCTTAAGTTTAAGTACAGGAAACCAGCCTGTATGGGGCGGGTCGACAGCCCCCTAATTCTGATAGTAAGAGCAGTGTGCTGCGTGTGTTCTGCAGGTCTTTCTGCCAGCATCTTAAGGCCTTACTTTACGGTGGGGCCTTAGTTGAATCATCTGTAAAATGAAATGATGTTCTCCGACCTGCCTTCTTCTCATGGAGGTGATGTGATCATAAAAATTAAATAGTGAGAAGCCCAATGAGCTATAGAAGTGTATGGAAGATGGCATTAATATTTCTGCATTACTCATCCAGCCTTACATACTGTATTGACGGATGTGGTCTTCAAAGTATTTAATTATCTATATGGGACACCTGCTGTGTGCCCACTGTGGGATTTAGTAGGAAGGATTTGAAGGGGATAGAGATTGGAGATGGGGACACCAAATGGGAGGCCACCTAGTCACCTGGCTATGAGGTGATGTGAGTTTGGTCTTTAGTGGTGACAATGGGAATAAGAAAGGTAGTGAAATAAGTTGATGATGGAAAGGAAAGAATAAGGAATTGAAAGTTTCTTGACTCAGAACCCAGAAGACAAACTTGAAAGGGCATCTCCTAAAATGACAACAGGGTATCCAAGTGGAAATGTCCTATGGACAGTTAGAAATCTAGATTGAAGTCCAGCTCTCACTAGAGATGATGATTTAGAGGTTTTCATCATAGACTATGACAGATCCCTTAGAGTCATTTGAGCATCCTAAGACAGGAAATGTGTTCACATTTCTGCAGGAGGGCCTTGAGGAAACCCCACAGTTAGGCCATGATGTCAAATCAGAGAAGGTGAGCCACTGAGAAGTGAGAGCTTTTATTTTATTGGTAAAATAAAAGCATGTTGTTATTCATTTTAGTGAAGGAAAATATCAGACATATTTTCATTGCTGACTCCTGCCCCCATCAGAGCCCATAGTCACAGGCCTCAGGGCTGTTCTGCAAGTAGAGATCTAAGAAACCTCGAAGGGTCTTCGCATCAGTAATGAGGAGTGATGCTATGGGATCTTCCCTCATGGCTGCCATCCAGAGCTTAAGTTTTGGAGCGTGGTCTACACAGCTGTAGGATATGGAAAGAATGGAGGCATGAGCTAGATTAACCATGAAGGCATTGCAAAGTCTCCTATATAGCATCATGATCACTCTGCAGTTTCATTTTGTTTTCTTCTAACCTTTAAAACTATTTCTTTAAATGCACATAATCATAGAATATTATATTTGGAAGATATTGTAGAATTCTTTGTTTTATGGAGGAGGAATCTTAGAGTGAAGTGACTTGCTCCATTAGCATAAGAACTTGTCCAAATTGAGAGACTGATAACTTTTTAAAATGAGAACATGAAAGACAACCAATCTATGGCCAAATTGGGACTAAAAGTAACCCTGAATGGCTCTAAGCTTTAAGAAGTGGGAGTAAGCCAAGGTGGCTGCCAAACTGCAAAACATGGAGTTTGGAAAATAGTATGGGAATCTTGCTGGTAAATGGGAGGTAGCATTGGTTATACAATCCTGCATGACATCCTTATAAAAATGTACATCCTTTTGGATTTTCAACCAGGAGGGAAGGAGTAAATTACTTTTAAAATATTTTACTAAGTCACAGAACTCCCTGCCCTACTAGAGATGAGGAGGAATGGTGAGTGCAGGCATATGACATGCCCTGGATACTCCAAGACTCTCCTCCTCCTGTCTGGTTGTTCCCATTCATACCAGTTGTATGAAATATTTTAATTTTTGTTCAGAAAAAAGGTGAATATATACTATTCTGAATTATTCACAAAATACTCAAATGTCTTACTCATTTAGCTCCACTACTTCCAGCCGTTCAAACCAGGGCCAGAGGAGGTAATCAACCATAGAAATGGAACTGCCACCAAAGAAGGTTGTCTTCTTCTTGGTCAGAACCTGAACATTAAACAACATAAGAGTACTTATTAGTGTATCTAGTAAGATGCATCATCAGAGATGATGAGGGCACGTTAAGTAGAGTGATGAAAGCAGCCCCTTTCACCCTGGCATATCCAAGTTGGTTTTCTGTCTGATCAGTTTAAGCTTTAGAATCTGTTAGTTTGAGATGAAGCAAAACAATCAATAAAATAAACTAGACAGTGGAGAAAAATAAAACAAGCCACAGAGTACAAGATCTTTGTAATACATACACTCAACAAAGGACTGGTATTCAGCATACAGAAAGAACTGGAAATCAATAAGAAGAAAGGCAAACAACCCATTAGAAAATTTGGCAGGACAGACACTTCACAAAAGACATCCAAATGGCCCATAACCATTTGCAGAGGTGCTCAACTACATTAAACTGGAACCAAAATGTAATACCACTACCCATCCAGCAGAATGGCTAAAATGAACAAGAGCAAGTTAACAAGGGTGTAGAACCACTGCTGGTAGGAGCGTAAATTGGTACAACCATGTTTTAACAGTATCTACTAAAGCTGAGTGCATGCATACTTTATAATCCAGTAATTCTACTACTTGTAAATGTGAACATATATTCACCAAAAGATATGTATAAGAATGTTCATTGCAGCACTATTTGTAATAGCCCCAAAGTGGAAATGTTTACTGTCCATTGGGAGTAAAATGGATAAATAAATTGTGGTATAGTCATATGTGGGACACTATACAAAGAATAGGAATGAACTACACACAACACAGATGAACCTCACAAACCTCATACTGTATGAAAGAATCCAGACCCAAGAGAGTGCATATTATATGCACCATTTATATAAAGTACAAAAAATAGCCAAAACTAGTATTCTGTTTCTTGATATGCGTGCTAGTTACACGGCTGTGTTCACTTTGTAAAGATTCATTAAGCTGTATTCTTATGCTTTGGGTACTTCTCTGCATATAATACTTCGATAAAAAATTTACTTAAAATATACTGGAAATAACTGGATTAACTATTAAACAGATGCCAAATAAAATTATTTGAAAACCAAGCACAAATAGTATGTTTCCTAAATTTAAGAAGGTGAATTGATATTATGGTTTTGCCAAAGGTGGGAACTAAGAATATTATTTGGTTAATAAACACTAAACCAACTTACCCTTTATAAAACTTCCATAGTTTTTCTCAGGGCCCATATAACATTCTGCCTTGTAGACTGATTGTTTATATCTACCTGAGTATTTGTCTTTTGTCTACTACCTAAGTAATCATCTGAAGAATATGGACAGCATCTTACTTTCTACCTCAGCAGAGTGCCTTGCAGTTATTAGGCACTCAGAATTGTACAATAAATAAGTCTTTCTGGGTCTGTCCTTAAACTGTAGTGCCTGGTAATTATGCATAAATAAAATTAAGTATGGTGGTTTCAGTCAGCAGCCCTAAAACATGGAAAACTCATTTTAAAGCACGAGTTTTTAACCTGAAGTCGGTGAACTTAGATGGGGAAAAAATTACATTACTCTCCCCACTAACCCCAAATTTAGGAGATATTTCCACTATGAAAACGGCAGTAAACCATAGCAGTATGAGTGAATCGTATATTTTAATTTAAGCATTTAAAAACATTATTCTGAGAATGAGTCCATAGGCTCTACCAGGTTGCCAACTGGGTCCACAAAAGAAGTCTTAACTTTCAAAAAACAATAACCCACATGCATTCTCTGACCATAATGTAATTAAATTAGAAAACAGCAAAAAAGGTAGTTTAGGGAACTTGAAAGTACAATGATAAATAATTGAGAGGCAATGAGAAAAATCACAATGGAAACTGCAAAAAAAATTTAGAACTGAACGATGAAAATACTGCATATTCAAACTTATGGGATGCAACTAAGATGTTATTTAGAAATAAATATATGGTGATCATTAATGCATTAAAAAATCAAGAATGACTGGAGATAAATGCATTAAATACCCAACTCCTGAGCTAGTTAGTAAAAGAGCAATAGTAAATCTAAAGAAATTATAAGAAAGGAAATATTCAAGTTAAAGCTGAAAATAATGAGTTGTAAAACAAACCCTCGAGGATTAAGAAAACATATACTAATTATTTGAAAAAACTAATAAGATACATATCTAGAAATACTGATCAAGAAAACTTGAGAAAAGGCACATAACCATATTGGAAATGAATACAGGTATATAAGTAGTTATATGTAGAGATTTTTAAAAATTAGGAAACATGAGCATCTTTATGCCAATATATGTGAAAACTTAGATGAAATGGATAATTTTCAAGAAAAATCACCAAAATTGATTCAAGAAGAAATATAAAACCCCCAAAATCAATTACCATTAAAGAAATTGAAATACTAATGAAAAACTGACCCCCATAAAAGACACTAGGCTCAAATGTTTTACAGAAACAGCCAAACCCTATCAAATGGTTTCAGAGATTAGAAATACAGGGAAAGTAACCCAACTCATTTTATGAGGTTAGAATAGCCTTGATATAAAAACCAAATACGACACTATAAGAACAAAATAATGGTCCAATCTCATTTATGAACAAATATGCAAAAATCTCTAAAATATTAACTAATTCTAGAGTATCTATGAAAATCCACTGAAAACACGTAGGTTTTATCCCAGTAATGCTAGGATGGTTCAACACCAGAAAAATCTGTCAATAACACCATATTCATCAGATTAAAGGGAAAAAATTTTCTGAACATTTCAATAGATTTAATAGATGCAGACAAAACATTCAATAAAGTCCAACACTCATCCGTGACTTTTTAAAAAATTAGCGAACTAGTAATAGAACTTTCTTCATAAAAAAAAGGTTTCTGAAAAAAATCTACAGCAAACTTCATGCTTACTGATAAAATGCTAGGATACATTCCCATACAAGACAGGAACTATGTCTTCCCTCAGGAAAAACCTAAGGCTGTGTGTGAGCGGAATGTTGCAAGGCCGAGAAAAAGACTCGATCAAAAGGCCTAATGGCAGCTCTCCCCCAAAGGAGGTAAAAACACATCCGGGCTTCCCCAAGTTGCCTGTATGATTCATGGCAAACTCTTTGTGACGGGAAATGGTATTTGTGCTCTGATTACAGTTATGTTAATTTTTTTTTTTTAATATATGGACAAGGACTGGAAACGAGCAGGGAAAAATGACAACAGGTGACAAATATAGAAGTGTTGGTGAAATTTTCTTTTTTCCTTGTTATTTTAACATCAGTGCAACAAAATGTTTTAAAAGCAAACCCATGACAAAATATTTTTAGGTGTTTTGGTTTATATCTTAAACACAACAGCTTAGGGCAATCTGTTGTAAACTAAAATTCCTTACTTGGTGTTATTATTAATTGCCATAAAGTGATTTGGGAAATTGGGGTATGAAGAAAAGATTAGAGGAAAGAAGAGGGTGGATATAGTGTATCATTTACTCTGATAAAAACTAGAAGTGATTGCTTACCTCCTCTAGCTTGCTGAATTGTTTACGCAGTTCTTCTTTATCGCCAGCGAAGTTTTCCTTATTTTGCCCTCTAAGAAAGCGTATTAGCAAAGGTGGTATCTAGACAGAGAATAATTTCTTAGTTTATCAATGTGATGCTAACTATACCAGCCCCCTCACATGAAAGCACGCTAGAACGTTCATAGTCCCAGTGTCAGGGTGTTCTAGAAACTTCAAAGGTGCACCAATTCCTGTGTTCACAGCGGTCATGTACTGATCTTGGAAACAGTTTTGTGACCCAAGATGCTTCACTGGCTAGGATTTTATAAGTTGCAAATAACAGAACCCACTTTGGCGAGTTTGAGCCAAAAATGTCTTAAAAGGACACTGAGTGGCTCATAGAATTGTTGAGAGGCTGAACAAATAGGCTTGGAACTAAGCTGGAACATTCCAAAATCATGGTCAGAACTCACCTGATGGGAAGCACCCACTGCCACCAGTGGGCTGAGCACTAGATGCTAAGTTGGTGCCACTGCCGGAAGTTGGACTCAGGTAACTAACGCCATTAGTACTGAAGCCATTTCTACTCTGGAATTTATTTTTTTATTTTTTTTAACATTTTTATTTATTTATTTATTTGTGAGGAGATCAGCCCTGTGCTAACATCTGCCAATCCTCCTCTTTTGTTGCTGCGGAAGATTGGCCCTGGGCTAACATCCGTGCCCATCTTCCTCCACTTTATATGGGACGCCGCCACAGCATGGCTTGCCAAGCAGTGCATCGGTGTGCGCCCGGGATCCGAACCTGCAAACCCTGGGCCGCTGCAGCAGAGCGTGCACACTTAACCGCTTGCGCCACCAGGCCGGCCCCTCTACTCTGGAATTTAATCTTGCAACCACCACAGCTCCTGAGAGCCAGGAGCTCTGCCACCAGCCACTCACCAGCAGAAGCAGTGCCCCACACCAAGCTGTTTCCCCATGTTGCTCATTTCTGAATTGAACTCTACCACATGTGTATCTGACAAGAAGAGCCCAGGTCCCAGGCATTGGCCCAGCTGCAAAGGGAGCTGGGGAAGAGAATTTTTCTGAGTTCTACCTTGGGGAGGACGTGAGAAGACTGTTCAGAAGGAGCTAACTACTTCACGCCTTGACAGGTGTAGCGTCAGGAGCTTTAATGCTTGTGGTGGAGGTGTTGGTGTGTTTTAATACTTTGGTCTTTGGTATCGTCTCATTGCAAGAAATGCAAGAGACAGAAGTCCACTCATCCCAGTTTTAGTAAACAGGCACTTGTAAGAATAGAGGAGAATGGCCTGAAATCGTATCGATGTCAGTACAGCTTGCCCTCATTGGAACTGAAGGTTTGCAGGCAGTGCTTCCATCCACATTTCCATCTGGGCCTGTCTGGTTTGCATCTCTGCTTCTCCTTAAATGTCTGATCTATATTTTCCATATGTCAGTTCCCTTTGCAATGCTCTTAATTTCTGCCTCTCTAAAAATTTATTTTTTACATGGCTTTGGTTTGTCAAGTCTCCAATGATATATTTATACAACCTCTACTGTCTCAGTCTCTGTGTCTCAGTTCTAAGTTCCCAGGAGAGAAGACACTTGGGCAAGGGATGTGAGTGGAGGCATTTCTAGTTTGCTGACCTGTAGCTAGGAGGGCAGGGTCATATGGTACCTAAGGCCACCTCTTCCCTGAATATGAGCCGGGAAGTAATGGTGGGCATCTCCAGCTTTTAGCTCATTTTTTTCCTAGACAATACAACGACTCTCTTGTTACTATTTTTTTCTTTAATACTCCAACATCTTTCTTGTAAATGCCATATTCCCTGTCCATCATCGTAGACAGCAACTATCTCTACTATTCTTGCACTCTCATTCTGCTAAGCCAGACAAGTCCCTCTTCCTTCCCCATTGGCTTCCCTTTGCAATGTCTCCTTAAACTATATGCTCTCTCTGTAAGTCTCATCGTCTAGGTTTTCTTTAACTATTTCTTTCACTAAAGACAAGATATTTCTTTACATGGGGACATATATCTTGACAAGGTAACAGGATTATAAATATATAACCTGATGTTGCTGTTCTTGTTGTCCACTGTTGGTCATTTCTTTGTCAATACTAATGGTTTGAACTAATTTACGACATTCATGCTAATTAAGATACTAACAATTCTTCTAAAGGAATGCCATTTACTCAGTCAGCTGAGAACTATTGCCAACACTCAGTAGATGCTCACTGCTAGACCCTGTGGCTAACACAACAAGAGCTAACATTGCATATTTACCATGTGTTGGACTCTGCTCTAGGTGTTTTATATTATCAAAGGTACAGTTATAAGTAACTTGCTCACAGTCACACACTAGAAGTGGCAGAGCTGGTCACAACTAAGCAGTAAGCCAGCAGTGATGGAAACATGGCGCTCACCCTCAAGAAGCTCACAGCCCTGGTGCAACACATAGGCAAGAAGGCAGGCAGTCACCGACAGGGAAGGTCAGCACATGCAGGAACACAGCGCTGGGCACTAACCCAGCACGGACAAGCTTCTGGAAGGTGGCAGTATCTGAGTAGATACATGAAAGAGGACTTGGAGATAGCCAGGCAAAGTGAGAAAGGGGAAGAGTCTCCTAGCAAGAGTTGAGAAGAAGGTGGCGAGTTTGAGAAAACAAAACATTCAGTATGGCTGGAACATAAAGCGCCAGGAGAAGAGTGAAGAGGCGTTAACTTTGGAGAGGTAAACGGGAACCAGATCACGAAAGGGCTTGCAGGACGTGTTGGAACTGACAAGAGCATAGTCCTGTTCTGTGTCCCTTTCCCAAATCACTGAACCATAAATGACAGCACTGATTAGCTTAAAAAACAAAGGTTTTTCAAATAGGAGTTGAAATTTCTTATACACACACCTGAGAAGATAACGCAACAATAATCTTTTGGCGAGCCTTCTCATAGGGGTCATCTGGCCACAGCTTCTTCCCTGGATATGCTTCATCCAGGTAGTCACAGGTGATGGCAGATTCGTAGATCAGTTGACCCTTGCTGTTTTCCAGAACTGGCACCAGACCCAAGGGATTCTTCTCAAAGAACCAATCAGGCTTGTTTTTCAGGTTGATGTTGATGACTTCATGCCTGAAAGACATATAGACAATGAAGAGACTGAAACATTTTTTGTACTTCTGAATAAATCTTCACTGGCCCTACCGTCCACTTGGCTGATCAGACCCCAAATTTAGGAGTCAACTTAGTCTTGATTCCTTCCCCTCTGCCCCCGCTTCCTCAAGTCAGATGGATTAGCCAGATGTCAGTAGACCTCCAAATCATATTCTGACTTTATCCATTTCCCAGCTTTACGACCGTCACCTCATCCAAAACACCGTCTGCCACCTGGACCTCTACAACAGTCTCCCAACTGGCCTGTTTCCACTGTGGCTTCCCTACAGTCCATTTTCCACACACAGCCAGGTGGAGCTTTGACAAAAGTAAACTGGACGGGCCGGCCCCGTGGCTTAGCCGTTAAGTGCTCACGCTCCGCTGCTGGCGGCCCGGGTTCGGATCCCGGGCGCGCACCAACACACTGCTTCTCCGGCCATGCTGAGGCCGCGTCCCACAAACAGCAACTAGAAGGATGTGCAGCTATGACATACAACTATCCACTGGGGCTTTGGGGGGAAAATAAATAAATAAGTAAAATCTTTGAAAAAAAAAAAAGTAAACTGGACAAGGCCACCTTCCTGCTTACAACCCCTCGATTGCTCCTCATTGCAAAGAGGATAAACTCTAAACACTTTCCACGACATGCAAGGCACATTTGCTATGGCCCCTTCTTACCTGTCACACCTCTTTCCTATGACTTTCCCTCTGGTCATTATGATCTGGCCACACTGGCCTTTTTTATATTCCTTGAATTTGCCAAACATGTTACCACCTTAGAGCGTTTGTGTTTACTGTTCCTCTGCCTTCTCTGCCTGTCTTCACAGGTCAAACACCACATCCTCAGAGAGGCCCTCCCTGACCACCTATTCTGAAGCTGCTGAGAGCCTCTATTACATGATCATCTTGTTTTACTTTCTTCATTGAACTGATATGTTTGTGAAATTACTGTGCACACCTGTTTACATGTTTCTTATGTCAACTCCCTGGAATGTGAGCTCCATGAAAGCAGGGATCTTGTGTGTCTTGTTCATATTAATAAACACATAAAAGCAAATTTTAAATAGATTTAAATGCTATGAAGAAAATCAAAATAGTTTCAGATAGGTACTCAGTAAATATTTGTTGAGTGAATGAATAAAATAGATAGAAATGCTTCAAGATTGTCAATAAGATACTACATTTTTGGCTAAGAGGTATGTTAATTGTAATTTATGTGAGGCAACTAATTGAATTGTGTCTACTAGCCACTATATAAGAATCATGATAAAATTCAATTCCTTTTGCTAATTTGAATAGAAAGTTCCTCACTTTTTACAAGGATATTAAGGAATCCAAAAAAATCCACCCACAAAATAAACTTTCAGATTAAATCTCCAAGCATTGATATTTTTTTTTAAATGTTACTTGGGTAAATCATACAAAATAAACCCAAAAGGAGGAAAACAGGTAAAGTCCAGGTTATATTCAGATTGTAATTAGATCTAACTTGTATGTTGCCTGAGAGATCTTAGAGGAACTAAGAGAAAGGAAAGTTTCATATAATTGTTAAAGCCAGGTCCATATAATTGTCAAAGCTGGATAATTGCTCAATAGAATATTCAAAAATAATATACAACACCTTTTGTTTCCTATTTCTGCAGTAGCTAGAACAGCATTTAGTTGAGGATTAAATGTGTAATTCCTCATGGAAACAAAGGAATAGCCAGATTGAACACTAGCGTGTGTGTGTGTTTGTGTGTGTGTGTGTGTGTGTTTTAAAAAGCTCATGTGCTGACAGAGTACTGGACATTCAGATACAAGCCACTGCAAGAAAAATGAGGCCCCCTGCCAAGGAATTACCAATATTTCTGAAACTTTATACTATGAGAACAAAAGCTAGATCCTGGGCTTTTGTGATAAAGAAAGTTCTCGGTACACATATACATTTTGGTAACCTGGCGTTGTGAGCCAACAAGTCAACACACCTGCCACAACAAGTGGAAGATGCACCTTTTAGAGAAAACCATGCTTTCACGTGGTAAAAATCTAGTCCCTCTCTGATGAAAGTCTCCCGGGACTCAAACTGAAAACTGATCCATGAATGTAGCAGACCTCTGTTCGCTCTACCTTTCGCCACACTTCACGCCCCATACACACACTATTAATGGTAAAATCATTTCCATTTTCCTTTGGAAAACTGTCCCAGTAAGTAAGGTAGGGTTGTTTTCAACCTAGAGTTGAAAACAGAGGGGCATATAACCGAGGATTTGGTGCCCCCAAATCCAGCTGTGTCTTGCTCCTGGACTTTTCAATTATATGAGCACAAGATATGTCTTTTTTCAATCCAATCTAATTTGGATTAGATTTCTCTCACTTGCAATAAGAGACTTCTGATTAATACAGCAAATAGTACAGTGTTTGGATAAAATACAGTGTTTTGGATAAATGTTACTAAATGTTGAGTATTTTGCTATGTGTTCAGAATCAATTTCATCCAAATAAGATGCAAATCTTAGTGAAGTGATGGCTCATCCAAAAATTTGTTTTTTTCTTTAGAATGCATTTTACATTTGTTTTAGGAAAAAGAATTGCCTGCCTAATTCTCCCCCTAGAAGACTATAAAATTAGTTTCTAAACCCTAAGCACATAGATGGACTTTTTCTTAAGAATGTGGGCTATGTTTTAAACTTGCATGTGATGGTTATCTAATGTTTGTTCAACAGATTACAAAGGTCATTGGAAAGGAGGTGGTTCCAATGGATATTTGGCATCAGAGAAAAGCCAAGTGACTTTGCAGATTTCCTATGGATAAGCCATATGTCAATAAGCATGCTAGCTTCAATGAGGCTTCACAAAAGACTGCATTTTCAGGCACCGACACTTTCTTTGACTCAACCAACAAACCAGTCTATAGGGATATGTACAGTACAGTTAACTCAGCACTCTGCCAAGAGCGTCAAGGTCTGGTATCTGTACTGGAGTAAATTACCGACTATTCGAGAAGGGACCATATACTCAGAATAACAGCAAACAGTCAGATAAGCCAGACATGAATGGAGAAATGGGGTGAAAGGGAAAGGACAGCAGACCAGGAACCAGGGATCTCCCAGAGCTGAAAGAGCTGCTGCCTGTGATGACTGGTCCAACGATGTCGGCAGATTACTAACTTGCCTGGAGCCCCAGTTTTTCCAATCCATGAAATGGTTAGGTTAGTCTAAACGGGGTGCTAGACTGGTGGAGTCTGTGGCATTCTCCCCGTCCCCCAGCCCCAGGAGAGAGTCCATAACTTATGTCCTCCCAAAAGGCTGAGAAAAGTTTACTTTGCAGTAAAGGAAGCTCCGGGAGCCCTATTCGAGATTCCCACCCTCGCCGCCCTCAGCAGCTGGTTCCGAGCCGGCTCGGGAGCGGCCCCCGCCTCGGTCCTCACCGGATTCCCTTGGCGTTCAGGGCCAGGAGGGTCATCTCGGCGAACGGGCAGAACCTCATGCTGTACAGGCGGATCACGCCCTCGGGGACAGGCCCCGGGGGCGGGCTTCCTGAGGGGAAGAAGCGGAGGCGGTTACGGCCCCGAGAGCGGCCGGCCCCCCCCAGCCTCCCGCCGCCCCCGGCCCGGCCGCGGAGACGTCCCGCGCGCTGCGGCCCGGGCCCGTTCCCCGCGGGCGGGGGCCCTGGGGCGGCTCGGCTCCGGAGCAGCCGCAGCGGGACACGCGGCCGAGGGTCGCCGAGATCATCCCCGCCTCTCGCCGTATATATTCCTCTCGCGGGGGCAGGCCTCACCCTTCCCCAGGCTCCTGGCCGACGCTCCGGACATCGCGGCGCAGCGCAAACTGAGCTCGCGCCCGGAGTCTGCAGGCAACTTAGGAAGCGGGTCGCCCCTCCCTCCCTCCTTTAGTCCCTCCCTCCTCTGCTCCCTGCCCTCCTCTCTCAGAGGCGGGGACCAGGGGCGGACCCCGGCTCGGCAAGAGCTGCGCTCCCAGAGCCCCGCTACGACCGCCGCGCCCAGGCTCTAGTCCCCGCCTTCTGCAAGAAGGACTGCGCGCCGCCGCGGCCTGCGCGCCTCCAGGGACATGGCGCCCGGACACCCCGCTGGCCCTGACCCAGGGCCCGCCTTCCTGGCTTTGTGGGGGTAGCGCTTACAACACCGGAACTGGCGGTGGTACCAAAGTGTATCATGCTGGCCCAGAGATGCAACCACGTCGAGATGCACAAAAGAAGTTCGAAACCCTCAGAGCCATTCCCCGCCTCCCAACCATGGTGGTCTCCAGGCTACCCTCCACTCGGTTCCAGGCCTGACCCTGACCCTGACCTCCCACTTCCCGCGCGGGGGCGGGGAAGGCGCGCCCCGGCAGCCCTCAGGAGGCACCCACTTGGTCGCAGCTCCCCTTGCCCTAAGGCTTCCCCAACTTCCCCGGGCTCAGCGTGCACTCACACGGTTCCAGAACGTGCTCTCTAAAGGTTCCTGTTCTCCAGCTCGTCCAGCCGCCTGGACAGCGTTTTCCTTTTCCTCTCAGTAATGGTTTAATATGACTACTGGGAGGACCACTGTCCCTACTGTCACCCACAGGACACATCCTTTAGTCTTAACCCAAAGGAAACACACAGATCTGGATATTACTAACCTCAGAATAATGGTGCTGCTTTCAAAAATCTATTTATTAAACATTTGGATTTTGAAGCCCTAGTAAGGGCACAGGCTCAGAGTCAGGTAGGTGGGCTGAGTGAATTTAATCCCGAGGGTCTATGAAAAAGGTCTGGCCAGACCGTCCTCTCAAACAGCTCCTGGTAACTTAGGGGCTAAGAAAGAGGGGGTTCCAGGGCACATGGTACAGATACGGGAAAAGGCTATTCAATATTTTGCTTGACTGCCTGGGTTGTTTTGTTGTTGTTTTTTCCTTCCCTTAGACAGACGAGTGGTGGGTTCCAGGACAGGGAAAGGAACCTGGCCCTGACACAGTGAGAGCACCGAATTTTAACCACTAGGCCATCAGGGCTGGCTCTTGTCTGCCTGGTTTGAAAGCTGGTAACTGCTGTGCCATGTATTGCTGGCATGGGGGCTGGGGGGGCGGAATGTCTGGTTTTATTTTGATTAGCTCTATTATGGGAGAGGCAGAGAGTGAGGTGATAAGCACTCAGCTCTTGGAGCCTTTCTGCCTAGGTTTGATTCTGGCTCCAGCCCTGTATTGGCTTGCCAGGGCTAAGGTAACAAAGTACCGCAAACTGAGTGGCTTAAACAACCGAAACTTATTCTCACAGGTCTAGAGGCTACAAGTCCAAGATCAAGGTGTCAGCAGGGTTGGTCCCTTTTGAAGACTGTGAGAGAGAATCTCTTCCATGCCTCTCCCCTAGCTCTGGTGGTTTGCTGGCAATCTTTGGAGGTTCTTGGAGTATAGAAGCATGTCCCCATCTCTGCCTTCATCTTCACATGGCATCCTCCTTGTGTGCATGTCTGTGTCCAAATTCCCCCCGTTTATAAGGACAACAGTTGAAACTGAGAATGAATGAGTTAAATCTTCCCTGAGTTAGGGCAAAACAAAAGAGAGAAAAAATTTGATATAAGCTCTGCTAACCGCAGCTGTGCATGCTCATACTCAGCTACTAAAACTAACCAGATCTTTCTGTAGTGAATGAGTTGTTTTTCCCAGGAAGTCAAGGTCCAGATGGTCAAGAAGAAAGGATATTCAGCCTCACAAGGCCAAATGCTGGCTGAAGATGAAAACTAACCAGAAAAGTCCAGATGGTCAAGGAAAAAGAGATTCAATAAGATGAAAACTAACCAGAAAAGTCCAGACGGTCAAGGAAAAAGAGATTCAATCTCACAAGGCCAAAGGCAGGCTGGTGGAAGGCACCAACCAGCAAGGCCGCGTGCTCTGCCTCCCTTACCTAAAACCCCAGCACATGCTCCCTCTTCCTAAACCCCAGATGAAAACACCTACCTTTTTCCCTTCGAGGAGGTGAATTTGTTTTAGCTCTCATTTCCTCGTCTGGCTGCCTTTTGATAAATAAACCTCTTTCCTTGCTATAAGCCTGACGTTTCAGTGATTGGCTTTTGCCGCTTCTTGGGTAAATGAACCTGTGTTTATGTGTGGTAACACAGTCATATTGGATTAGGAGCCCACCCTACTCCAGTAGGACCTCATCTTTTTTTTTTTTTTTGTGGTGAGGAAGGTTAGCTCTGAGCTAACATTTGTTGCCAATCCTCCTCTTTTTGCTGAGGAAGATTGGCCCTGGGCTAGCAACCATGCCCATCTTCCTCTACTTGATATGTGGGTTGCCTGCCACAGCATGGCTTGATAAGTGGTGTGTGGGTCTGCGCCAGGATCCAAACCTGCAAACCCTGAGCTGCTGAAGCAGAGCACGTGAACTTAACCAGTACGTCACCCGGCCAGCCCCGACCTCATCTTAATTTAACTAATTACAACTGCAATGAACCTATTTCCAATTAAGGTCACATTCTGAGGTACTGGGGGGTTAGGGCTTCAACCTATGAATTCATAATTCAACATATGAATTTATTATGAAATCATATGGATTATAAGAACCCCTTAGTACCTGTGTGAACATGGGCAAGTTCCCTCTGTGTTTCAGTTCTCTCATCTGTAAAATGGACTGGTAAATACATAATGCCTCACTCACAGAGTTTGAAGAAGGATTTAAGTTAGTAAAGATACAGAAAGCACTAGAACAGTTCTTGGCACAGAATAAGTGTAAATAAATGTTTGTTATTATGACCGTTACTAAATGAAAAAAATTAGACCACAATTTTTTTTTGCAGATTATTCGATCTTTTTTAAAATTTTATTTTATTGAGGTCATATTGGCTTTTAACATTGTGTAAATTTCAGGTGTACATTAGTATATTTCAGTTTCTGTATAGATTGCCTTGTGTTCATAGACCACATTTTTGCTAAAACGTGGGTCTTGCTTAACTCTTTTTTAGAAAATTAACTTTTTAAAAGGTCTTTTAGAACATTAATGATATCATACAAATTAAGCCCGTAAATTTAAACCTGGCCACACAAAACCTCTGACTGGCCAAACTAAAAGTTCCAGATCAAGGTGTTATTTGAGAACTTTTGCAGTTGCGTTGCGTATCTGTGGGTTGCACGTGGGCAGATTCAACACACCTGCAGACGGAAAGGCCTACAATTGTTGTGTTTGTACTGAACATGTACAGGCTTTTTTTTCTTGTCATTATTCCCTAAACAATACAGTATAACAACTATTTACATAACATATATGTTGTATTAGGTATTATAAGTAATCTAGAAACGATTTTAAAGTATACGGGAGGATATGCATAGGTTATATGCAAATACTATGCCATTTTATATAAAGGACTTGAGCATCCTCTGCTTTTGTATCAGAGGGGAGGTCCTGGAACCAATCCCTCTTGGATACCGAGAGACGACTATACTTGGAATGGTCTGTCCTCTAATTAGTATGAGTAGTGTAACATTTTGTTGTCATGATTTGAAAGATCCAATTCATCAATAAAGTAAAAAGTTACTCCTTAAAGAAATAAATTGAAAAGAAAATATACTGTCTCAGGAGACTGCTACTGTAGGGCTGCTGTGCATTATAGTGGATCATCTCCAAGCCTTTTGTGGTTGTGTGCATAATATGTGAACATCTAGATACACACTGCTGTTTGCCACAGGTGAAAGAACACAGTACTTCACATTTTTGCAGTTGTAATTCACCTGAGGTGGCTAACCTGAATTGATTCTGCTGGTTAAAGATCAAGAGTTAAAGGTTTCAGTGATAAGAAATAGTTTGCTACTTCCTGGGCACCATTTTTCTTCACCAATTGTATACACCCACTTGATACAACATTCTTCTGTGATTTTTCAGGAATGTAATTTGAATAATTTTATACTTTTTAGTATATAATAAATTGATATTAGTAAGGTATTTTTATAGAGTAAGTTATGAATATTGAAAGTCACATGAAGTGTTTTATTTTAATTAATTATACTTAAAATCTCTTTCAAAAAATTAGGGGCCCTTGTCTTGTGAATAAGAATGTTTCTTTAAAAATTAACATTTTATGACAGCCCATAGCAGGGAGAAATAGCCTTCATCTAAGAGTGTCCGTGGAAAGATACTGGCTGAATGATTGAGTGAAAGAATCAGTAGGTCCTGGAGTGAAGTCAAATGAAAAAAAAATCATTATAATTCTCTCAAGAAGAGCCATATAGGAATAAATGGCCCATAAAGAAAAGAGCTTGAGGGCCGGCCCCGTGGCTTAGCGGTTAAGTGTGCGTGCTCCGCTGCTGGCGGCCCAGGTTCGGATCGGGGCGCACACCGACGCACCACTTCTCTGGCCATGCTGGGGCCGCGTCCTGCATACAGCAACTGGAAGGGTGTGCGGCTGTGACAGACAACTATCTACTGGGGCTTTGGGGGAAAAATAAATAAAATCTTTAAAAAAAAAAAAAGAGCTTGAATAGCAAAAAAATAAATAAATATTGGGAGAGATATTAAAAGTGCATTGAGAGTGGAATGGATAAATAAATTGTGGTATATTCATATAATGGACAACTATCCAGCCACAAACACTAATAAAGTACAGCTACAGCTATTGACATAAATCCATCCCAAAAACATAAAATTGAGTCATAAAAGCAAGTCACAAAATAAAATATATGGTATGACTACATATGTTAACTTTAAAAACGTGCAAAATGAAACACATATTGGTTATGGCACAGGCATGTGTGGTAGAATTGAAAAGCAAGGAGCAATAAATAGAATTCGGGAGAGTGGTCACCTCTGGGGGAAGGAAGAAAATGAAAAAGGGAGGATGCTTGGCATGAGTGGGGAGGGGTGCTGTCAGGGTATTGGGTACATTCCATTTCTTAAGCTGGAAAGTGGCTT